GGGGTGCGGGGAGGCGGCAGTGCTAGGCGGGGTGCGTCGCAGTGGGGTGCGGGGAGGCGGCAGTGCTAGGCGGGGTGCGTCGCAGTGGGGTGCGGGGAGGCGGCAGTGCTAGCCGGGTGCAGTGCGGTGCGGCTGGTGTGCTGTAGTGTGCCGCATTACCATTGCTGGCCCGTTGCTTTACTGTTAGCATCTCCACGCCCGACATCCTGGCCTTCTTCATGGCCGACGTCGCACGGGGGCAGCCTGACAGACTGGTGGGAGGGAGAGGGACCAATGTCACCGTCAGCATGTGTCATCCGTGCCCCAAGCACGTTGGCCTGAGTCCCGCGGCTGTGCTGCATTTGGGAAGCGTGTGGTGAATTTTCCCGGAGGTGGAAGGCACAGACCAAATGACTGACCAGACCTGTTTTCTTTACCTGACACAGTACACTGATATTTTATTTTTGTGTGTTACTTTTATTGCTCTGCTCCAGTGAGCCGGAAGAGTCCCCCCCCAACCCCAAAGACAAACAAATGAAATATAGACACACCAACTGCTCAAATAACTTCTGAATCCCTCCACCAGGCAATCCCAAATCGGGCCAGCAGGTGGTGTAGTAGTTAAGGTCATGGATTCGTAATGCAAAAGCTGCTGGTTCAAGCCTCGGTGGTGGGGGGGGGGGGCTACTGTGGTAATTAGGCAAGGTAATTGTAATGAACTGCTAAAGGTCAACCATCTATCTTTATAAATGATCTAATTGAAGAAATTCATCAGCTAAATAAGACAGAAGGATATAACCGTGGAAATCCTTGGATTCAGTCTCAGATGGTACTCTACTGTCACTGTGGATCAGATACTAATTGCACTGACCCACCTCCTGTGTGTAAGGAAGCTCCCGCTAACGTGTCCCGACCCGTCACAACCCGGGGTCGGGCAGGACATGCCGTCCGTCTTCCCGGACTTCCATGTGAACTGGGAGCCATTCATGTACCCGTCCTTCTGCCGTTTGGCTGCCAGGGGGCAGCCTGATGCACTTCGGTGAGATGCATACTTCCCCGTCACGTGACCCTGCCCATCGCAGCCAGGGACAGGACACCTGCAGGCCAAAAATGAACTCAGTGACCCCCCCTCCGGTTGTCTCGCACAGTGTTCCAAAAGCGTGGTGAAGGGAACCTTTTGGAGACAAAACTTACAATATGCTAAATCTGAGTCACCAGATGTGAGCAGCTAATCGCGGCTTCTGCGGCTTTGAAAAGTGTACACCCATTGACAGAAATTTCTAGATATCAAAACTTTGATTTTGACGTGGACATGTTTGACCAAAAACAGTGAACATAGTAAAGTTTCGACAACTGCTACTGAAGACCAAAGAACAGCGCCCAGTCATGGTATGGTCGACCTTAAACTATTCCTGTCCGTCCAAATGGACCAACCGCCGAGTGACGGGCCCAGTGAGAGAACGATAAGCAGATGCTGCAGCTGACATGTCGAGCGAAGAATTCCCAGCTTTCACACTCACTTCACGACATCAGCTGCGAGTTTGTTTGAAAAGAAAAACTAAAGAAAAAAAACATACTACAAACTTCTCTACTCTCCCAGGTACAAAGGCACTGCTCCTAATGTAAAAATGCTGTTTTTCTAAAATGCATACTATTGAGAGCTTAGTGCTTGATGCTGAAACTGATGTACTAGATGTGTTCGGGTAAAATCACTCGCGTCTCCAGCGTACTGCTCTCGTATGATGCAGCTGACGGGAAAGCCGGGTTACTTCCACTGTTGGCAAGATATCAGTAGAAATGAGGTTTATTGAATGATTCTTGAAAAATAAATGGTGTTCAGTGCCCGGCCTTCCTTAGAATTCATAATGCAAGGATTTTTTTCTCCAGTAACAGAATGCGGCACCGTGCAAGAGACTCCCAGTAGAATCTGGCTGGTCCAAAGGCCACAAGCTGGCCTGGCTTTGCAAGGCTGTACATGGGCTATAGAGACTGGCTTTGGATTCAAACTGCAAACACCTTTAATAATTTAGGAAATTTTATCAAACGAAAACACAATAGTCAGAGCTCATGATCAGTACTGGACTGACCCTCTAGGGGGCACTGTACCTGATGGGCTCTTGGTCCTCCTTATCCTCTTTACTGTGTGTTATTTTTATCCCACTCTTTCTCGCTCTTGGGCACCCTGATAGACTGAAGGGTGATGGGGGAGGGGGAGAAGGGGGTGGACATCGAGTTAATCAACTTGTCTATTACCAGCAGACGTTAAAGTAAAAGCCGTCTTATGAATGGACTTGTGCTGATGAATCATTCATTTGTAAAAATCTAAAGCTAATGGCTACAATTTAACATTTGCCAGACGGACCCTATTCATTTTAGCTCAAAAGATGCACAGGGGCTTCGCGTTAACTGCGCTAATGCACTTCCCGCAGACAGGCACGCCACTTGCCTCTGTGCCCCGCGTGGCTCCTTACCTTCTGTGCGAGGCGTAATTCCCAGTGATGTGTCCCGAACCATCGCACCCTGGCGTCGGACACCTGGTGAAGGGTACAACACAATCGGTGAAGGAGGCCCTGTCATATCCCTGAATGCCCTCTTCCCATTCCTTCCATCCCTGTCATAAAGTAAGCTCCTCCTGTCCAGTCTAAAGGATGTGGTCCAGATTCATGCTGAGGTTGAGAGTTCGATACTGACAGACTCCAAACAGAAACAAAGTACATTTCACGTGGCAGTGAGTACATGGGCTGCTGATAGTGATCCATGTGTGATTTCAGGTTAGGAGACATGACACATTTGGGGCTCCGGTTTATTGTTTGTCTTGGAAAAAAATCTTTTTGTTTCTGTATGTAAAAAACAAATCAATACTCTAATAATGAATCTGAACTGTAGCACAAAGAATCAACTAAGATATTGTTAACAGACGATTTAACAGAGAACTTACCTGTGACATCCTAGATTATATACCAACAAAAAACTTTAAGGAAAAATAATTAAAAATATCTGACTCTCTGTTCTCAGCCCTCCCAAAACAACTGACAATATGTCTGAAAGCCAAACTAAACGAATAAAACATAACAAAACAAAAAGCAAACCATTCATTTGAGGCCTTACTTGAGCTCTTGCGAGTTGGTGGCCATCATACTTCGAATGCTTTTGTCAGCTAAAGGACAGCCAGAAAGACTGGAAAAATATACGAGGACAGGAACATTAGCGGCGCGGAGGACCGGCGGAGCGAGCCACCAAAGCACGACGACAGGCACACGCACTTACAGACACGCGTGCAGGCACACGCACGCACGCACACACACACACACACACACACAGAGAAGAGAGTGTCAACGCAAAAGCCATGGTGCGTGAGCATAGACATTGGGCCGGGAACATACGCGGTTAACACTCTGAGTACTGGCCTTTGGATCATTAACGGCCATTAATCTCCTTAATCACTAAAGGAATGGGGCCGGTTCATAGCTGGTGTGTCGACAGATGCCCAGCAAGGTGGACTAGCTAGGATTCCCAAAGGAATGAGGTCCACATGGTACTCAGAGGGTTAACCGACAGGGTAAGACTCTCTGTGTTGTTTGACAGCATTGTCGAGGTAAGCTGAAAACAATAAATTGAAACGACTGAATCCACCATGAGAAAATGAAGTCACACCTTCTATGTGAAGCGTAATTACCGGTCACGTGACCACTTCCATCACACCCTGGTGTTGGACATCTGTCACCAAAAACATAGATTAAAAAATAAAACGGAACAGAACAAAACAAAAAACAGCCAAACAGAGTAAGTATGCTTAAGCACGTTTGAATTTTTTTTCATTGTTTCCAGTTTAGCTTCACTGTCTGCTAAAGTTTGTTTGTATTTTTTTTCCTAAGGACATCCTAGGGAGAAGCTGCAACATGAACAGGTAAAATGAGAATGATGTTTTATTACAATAAAGCATCAAAAAATAAAACGAAAAAAGCCAGAATACATTAGCTAATAACTCCGGGTCAAATGAAAGACTCTGCATTATGCTGCATATGTAAGCATGCCAGTTGTGCCAGGGGGAGACAGCGGGGTCCCTCTGAAGCAGGACAACAGAGAGGAAGAGAGAAGTCAGACGGGGTGGGGGGGTGGAGGAAGGCAAACAGCATCCCCCCCCCACGCTTACGTTATCAGGTCCTTTTTGCTTTCCTTGCAAGGGGCGTATTTGGACTTGGGGCTGGGCACTTGGACATCTCCCGGGTACTGGCGGTCCTCCAAAATGTCGTGGAAGGGATCCAGATCGTCTGCCTGTGGGGGGGTGGGGTGGGGGGGGGGCGGATGATGGAGGGAGGGTGAGGGAGTGTCGCTTGTCTCGTCACGCCCTCCACTGAAAATGGATTTCTCAGCCGGCTGAGGATTCGACTGCAGCGTCTCCCTGACAACCGCGCCAGACTTAGGCCGGGATTATGTCGAAACTCCAGCAGCGCCTGTCGACTCCGATTGATGGCAAAGCCCTTTGGGCTGGGTGCGAAAAGGGAGGAGGAGGGGGGGGGGGGGGGGGGGGGGGGGGGGGGGGGGGGGGGGGGGGGGGGGGGGGGGCGGGCATGCAGGGAGCCAGAGGGAGATGAGCTGCCAGTCAGAGACATGAGCAGAGGGTTACCGATCCAGGCCGATGGCCAGAAAGTGGGCTGGTTTTGTCTCAGGGTGGATCCTGTATCCAGGGTCTCTAAGTTAAACCCTGCACCCCTCCTCCGACTGCTTCAGAAAACACTTAGCTGTATAAAGATATTTTGAGTCATCACAGAACGAGGCATGTGGTAAATACCAAAATAGACCAGCGAAATGGTAGAGAAGGTAGGACAGCTAAAGCTTCCACCGAGACCTCGGCCCGCAGAGGGAAAAGTGTGACCTCAGGAAGCAGCAGGAGCACCACAAACGCAGAAGCACGGTCTGTTCGCAGTGTTTTCCAGACTCTGACGCTTTAAAGACGCCAGGAAGGCGCGTGTCCGACACGCCGCCGCGTTCTCCGACCTCAGAGTCGGGGGTGTGCTGAAGCTCATCTTTAATCGCAAAACAAAAGGAGTCAGCTAGAGTGATGCGTCCTTGGGAGGCAGCGGGAAGGAAGGAGGCTAATTTGGGGACCAGGCTTAGCCAGTGCAGTTTATTAGTGCTGCGGAAACACGAGGCGTGTCTGCACTTTTGCCGCAGCCTTGGACGGTGATCATTTTAATGCGACAGATACTGAAGTCTGTGCAGTCTGCAAACCCACGTGCTGCTGTGTGACGGTGTCTGACAATCATGGCTTTCGGGGAGAGCATCACGCACAGACTCAAACCAGCCTGCTGTGTCTGTGCCAGGAATCAATAACAGACTCAGTGCAGTGTTATGGCATGGAATGCCACACTAGTGACTGGTGTGCGAGAGCATAATTGACTCAGGGAAGAGCTGCCCTCTCGATCAGCCAAAGCGGGGCTCAACTTCTTACGAATGTCCACAAAGAGCAATGTCCTTGTGCCGCAGTTTTTGGTAGATTACGGTAGATGCGTGACAATGCACACAGCTCACCACTCACACGTACTTCCACATCGCCTAATGTTCCAGCTCAGAGTCCCTGGATTCAGGGAGCTGCCTTCTGCAGGCGCAGCATGTGCTCCTGCACACTAGATGGTGCTGTGGCGAAGCAGAAAAGCCCCACCACACGACCCCTCAGCCGGGAGACACTGCAGGCTGCCTTCAGGCCTCATTTTATGCATGTGCAGCACTCAGCCCAAAATATATTTACTGCCCCCTTTTCAGCAGGCTGCCGTGAAGTAAAATGCAGGGCTACACTCGTACGCCATCGATTACTTGGTGGCAGCCGCCCGCCCTCCACCCTCCCCCTTAAAAGGTTATCTAAATCAATCAGATTGTCTCATGGTCTGGAACTTTCCATTATTCGTATAGGAAATCAACAAACATTATATGTAAAAGAAAAGAGACAGAGATGAGTTGGCAATTCTGATGCACAGAAATGTTGGTTTACATTAAAATGATAATTAGTGCTGGACAGGGGCCCACATACGTCATCAATGGACCTTTAGCCTTTAAAAAGAATCAGAATCTCCACTAAAACGGCGACATCTCTGAATAATTGCCGGGCTGGTAAGTGTAGGTGCAGGCAAGCCCGACTCCCTCCTGCGTACAACCTTGAGTTCATGCCTCCTGCGTACCTCCTTGAGGTCATGCCTCCTGCGTACCTCCTTGAGGTCATGCCTCCTGCGTACCTCCTTGAGGTCATGCCTCCTGCGTACCTCCTTGAGGTCATGCCTCCTCCGTACCTCCTTGAGGTCATGCCTCCTCCGTACCTCCTTGAGGTCATCCTCGTCGATGCGCTTGATTTTGGTGTAGTCAACAGGCAGGTCCCAGCAGTCGGCCTCGCCCATCTGGTAGCAGCGGCTGCTGAGCAGGGCCTGCCGCTGCGGCGACATGGGCTCCAGTGGCGTCAGCACTGCACAGCCATCGCGCTCGCCCCCCCGCTGCTTGTTCATGCTAAGATCTAGCGTGCCATTCTCATCCACCTCGATGTCGGGGTTCTGATGGGAGGGGCGAAAAAGAGGGATGCAGGTGCTCAGCTTTTGTGAGATGACAGAGCCTGGGTGGGGGGGTCACCTGGCACCAGCCCTGCCCGGGCCCCAAGTAACAGTTCAAGGCTCCGCCCACTCACGTTCTGTCGATAGCCTCCACGCCTAATTGGACAACATCTAATTTGTTAGACCCACCCATTCAATAGCCCCACATTTGTTTCGCTACTAGCACCCATTAACTAAAATCGCACCCACACACACGGATGGGGTCGTAACCCCAACCTAAAAGCACTATCAATCCATGCAGGGCCTCTGCTCTTCCCCTGGCGGCCGACCCGTGGTCCTGCTCCCCTGCAAATCAGTGCAGAAGGCTGTGAGTAGGAGGCTGCTAGCGGATCTGCTCCCTCTGCCAGCCTCGTGAGGACACCCGGCGCGGGCCTTTCCCCACACATGCCCCCCCTCCTTCCCCTGCACGCTGCATTCGCCGTGGGGGGGGGATGTGCCCCGTTGGCGACCTTTGATTCTGCGAGTGAGCAGAGCCACGGTGGTCCTGTTTGTGAGAGCGCCCCCGCCCCCGATCCGCTCTCGGCAGTGATGAGGCAGCTCCGCGGGACCCACCGCCACCGCAGGTGCTCGGCACGGTCTCCGTTAGATGGAGACATGACACCGTAGCCAGCTGAGCATGAGGCAGAATCATCCACTGCTGAGCTGGAGGGACGGGGGAGAGCCTGGGGGGGGGCACTTCCTGCTACCATGGCTACCTGATTTTTGGTGAATAACTGATTTTTGGTCACTGACCCATATCTGGAAGGTCAGACTATGGAAGTATAGCGACCTATCAAAGCCCTGGCCATATACTCCCCTTCCTGCAAAGGATGGCGACCTGCCTTGTCATAGTGATTGTCACGGCAACCCAGATCCCTATGATGCTGAAAACAGGGTCTCTCCGGACCCCCTCTGCTCAGCGCCCCGTCTCCCTCCTGTACCACCCGCGCCATCGCTGTGCTCCTGCCTGGTATTTCCTTGTGTCTTTTTTTTTCTAAGCCGTGTTTTTTCTTCTTTTTTTTCCTTTAAATAAAATTCCTGGAAGCTGGGGATTTTTGACTGTTGTCTATGAGAACCAGAGTGTAAGTGAGAGAGAGAGAGAGAGAGAGAGAGAGAGAGCGACAGAACACCTCCCCACCTACAGTCCCTGCCCCCTCCACCGCCTTCCTACACCGGCGCGTAGGCGGTCGGGAGCTAATTGCATGCGAGACCTGTGATAGGATTTTCTGTCCTGCTCCTCTGCAATTAGGCTGGGGGGCAGAGCGCTGGACCTCCCAGGTCCTGCTAGACACCCCCGCCTTCCCTGAGCCATTAGAGCTCCCACCCCGCATTCTAGATAATCATCCAACATGTCGGCTGTGTGTGTGACCGAGTCACTGAGTCATGCCCACGGCCGACAGCACTGCATCCTGCATGCCCTCAGAGGTCACACTGCTGGCGGGGGGCAGTCATACTTACTATGTTTCCCCACAACGGCATGTTTTGTATGAAACATTCATACACTTGAATATGATACAGTAATTCATAGGTTTCCATTTACGTGGCGGGGGGGGGGGTCATTATATGAAGACTACTTGCTGTGAAATTCCACAGGAGAGACATGGGAGTGCAGAGAAGCTGTTGTACCATTGAGAGGAGCCGAAATAGGGGTATAAATGGCATGTGCCGTTTCCAAGAATTGTTCTCCCGGGTGGGACAGCGAGACCACGCACATGATCAGGGGCGCAGAGATACACTGGTGGCCAGGCGTGGGACATGAGCTGCAGGGGGAGGGCGATGCGTGGGCCCCCGCTGCTGCTGTCTGCCTTTCTCCTGCGGGTCCCATGGGAGAGCATCCCATTTAATTAGAGTGGAGAGGAAGGACAGGGACTCTGGGCTGTCCGGAAGGTGGTGTGGTCTGGCCCCTGAACCCCATCACCACAGGCATGCTGGGAGATCATGCCCGCACTGAGGCCACCGACACTAGGGCTCAGCAGCCGTAAATCGTGCCTAACGAGGTGTTTTGTTGGTCTCGGAGGTTATATATGCCGGTAGGTTAATTGCTTGTAGGCAGCCTTATTATATATATATTTTTTATATACTGCAGCATGAGTTTTGGTTGTCTGGAGGCAAGATGATATTCTATATTATCTGTAAGTTACCCATTAGTTATGTGAGGGTATGGGATGTTTGTCTGTGCTCATTGATCGGTTAGTTTTCTGCAGGTTACCCGTTTGTGCTTGTTTATTTGATTGCTCATTGCAGGTTATTTGCGGTTCTCTGTCAAGTTGTCCACAAATTATCCATTTATGGTCATTAGTTATGTCTTGGCTTGACTGCAGGTTATCTGTGTTGGTAAGTTGTCTGTAGGTTACTTGCTTGTGCCTGTTAGTTACGTGCAGGTTGTCTGCAGGTTATCGGTTATCTCTAGGTCCCGTTTCTGTGGAGTACCGGCAGATACTAACAGCGGGGCAGGGACTTGACGATCGGCGTAGGGGGTGGGGGCTGTAGTCCGTCACTCCAGGAGCTTCCTCCAGGCACATTAGACTCAGCAGGGGCTCAAACCCCCCCCCCCGCCCACCCCCTGCCTGACGGCACTGTCACCGTCGATGCGGGGCGGCCGTTTGTACACTGTTTTCCCATTTTCACGATCGGCTTATTTCAGCTGATAATACCATGGATACGCTCCTTTATCTTGGATAAATGACATATTTGGCTCATTGCGTGTCGCCATGGTTCCCGGCGTCCCCGCTGTTTTCCATATCTGATTCTAAAAAAAAAGAAAAAACACCGTAGCGGAATACAGTAATAGCCGTTGGTTTCTTAAAGGGCCGCGCCCATCTGAATTCCCCATCTCCCCCATCATTACTCACATTACCTAGAGCGACAGCAGCTGTGGAAAACAGGGAGCCTGTATCTGCGTGGGACCCAGTTTCAGCTGGATCGCGTCTCTAGAAATTTCTGTCACAGCTGGAAGTCCCTGGGCACCCTGGGCTCGGCTAAGAAAGCTCCGGAACCGAGCCCTAACGAGTCGGAGGAGACTCCCCCGGGCTCCGTCACAGTCGAGCCAGGGGTAAGTCACAGGATGAGTCCCAAGTTTATATAACCCTGCGACACACTGGCCCCTCCCACACAAGCCTCACCAACCAATCATAGCCCCAGGGCTGGAAGGACGGCGTACCCGTGAGCAGAGGTCCTGTGGCTTATTGGCCAGGCCCTGGGGCATCTCGCGGCAGCGCGTGGACAGGTTGAGGATGGCGGTGGCGGCCATGTGTGCTGCTTCCATGTCGTGCGTGTAGTCGAAGCTGCTCTTGCTGCAGGTGCTGCTGGCGCTGCTGCCGCCACCACCTCCCCCACAGCTCATGCTGCTGCTGCTGCTGCTGGGGGCGTAGCTGCTGGTGGTGCTGCTGGCCGGGCTCAGGTTCTTACAGTAACGCTTGGCTGCGTGTAAAAGGGACACACACACACACACCAGCAGGAAAGGTCAAGCATCACAAACACAGAGAGTAGCACAGGGCTAGAGACAGACAAAGAAGTGGAATGAACCATCATTAATCACCCAAACACATTATATATCGAGTAAGTGGACACAGATAGATGGTCAGGTCGACAGACAGAGAGGTGACTGTCTTGTTGGCGGTTGTGGCCGTACCATCGTATCCCTTGGGGGACGGGTCCCGGCCCTGGACCTTGGGCGCGATGGCTCGCTTGCCGTAGATGTGGTTGCTGTCGTAGCCCGAGTTGTACTCGAAGCTGGTCTTGGAGTACTTCTCCAGCTCTTTGGCCAGGTTGGAGCGAGGGGTGGTGGTAGACACGTTGTTCTTGTAGCCGTACTGTGGGATCTCCAGCTGCTTCACGAAGCACATCGGCCTGGGGGGAGCAGAGCGGTGGGATGGGCTGTGAGATGCATAGGGTTAACAGAGTCATCGTTCTCATCTCCACCTGAAGGGGGTGCACTTTGTACAGGACAGTAAAAACTGCTAAATTAAAACTTGCACAGTACTATATAACAGACACGTTTCTGAAAACTCAACAGCACAACCTTAACCATAACTTGAAAGCATGTTGATATGCTGATACTGAGGCACTAATTAACAGTTAACAAAAACCATAATTATATTAACTGTCTGTGGCATTCTTCATCTGAAATCATTGTAGAGATATTATTGCTATCGTAACATAAAATGAATAAAACACTTCTGGAAATCCCAATGAAATCAATAAAGTGTTTTATTTATAATATTCCTAAGTTGTAGAGTCCTTGATGTTGACATCATAATGAACATGTAGTTTTGTTAAGTGTAAGAAAACACACACTGCATAACAAACACTTTACTGAACCACATTTGGAATAATTATGGCAATATTGTCAAGTTAAGACTTAAATGCCCAACCAGTAAAATACACTGGATAAGTCAACTGCCAGTGAGGTACACTGGATAAGTCAGAGTTGGAAGGTTCAGAGGTTGCAGGTTCACATCCCAGGAGAAACCCTGCTGTGATACAAGGCACTTAACCTGAACCGCTTCAGTAAATCTCCAAGCTACAGAAATGGGTAACAGATTTTAAGCTAAAGAATAAAGGCTCGGTATATCTCAGCACACTAAATCTTGTGCCAGAATGGGTTTCTAAGGACATAAAAGAAGATGAAGGTGTCGTGCTGTGTGAGGGCCAGGGGTCAGTACCTCAGCACGCGATCGGACGCCTGGCTGGACTTGCTGCCGTCACAGGTCTGGTGCTTCTCCTGGGCCTTGGCCAGCTTTTCAGCGGCGGCGATGGGACACCCGGAGAGGCTGCAAAAGGCAAGGGGACCCCCTTAGCTTCGTGCGAGCCACCAGGTGGCCAGGCAGGTACGGGTACCCGGCTTAACACCAGAAGGTCGCCGGTTTGCTTCCTGGGGAGGCAGGGAGAGAGCTCTGCCTTTGCAGCACTAAGTCCGATTCCTTTAGTAGAATCCAGCTGCGTAAACATGATCAAGGCACCTGCTTGCTATCTTAATGACAAGAGCGGCGGTAATAACAGCTCATGCTCTGAATGCTGAGAGCGCTGTGCACGGCATGGCCCTGGAAGATGAGGGAAACACGCAGCCTGCCTGATTACTGCCAAGCACGTACAGCAAACGAGGACAACAATGAAAGAAAAAAAAAAGAAAAAACAGAACGAGCACAAAGAGAAGTCCAGGGAGGCCAAGTGGAAAACAGCAGGCTTAATTTGGGTGGTTGTGTGAGGCCCGGACTAGGCTTTGCATTAAACGTGCTCTCTGCGGCACACAGAGGGAGGGGTGGCTTGTGCGATGCTGAGGGGGCCAGCTGAGCACATCCAGCACTGCCATCTTCACGCCCACCACCATCTTTCCAAGCAGCTTTAGGTATACTATGTGTTTTTTAGAACAGGTGAAGGTGGGGACATTCCCCCAACACTTGCTTTTCAATGGCTGTTTGTGTGGGGAAACAGCAGCGAATGTGTCCACAGTCACACATAGACAAACACACACAGGCGCATACAAACACATAATCACAAGCTGACAGACACAAACACAGAAGCAAACTGGGACCCGCGATTGCCTAAATGGCACAGACCCACACGCAGACACACACACACACACACACACACACACACACAGGAGTGTCTGTTTTCCGCCAGCACCCCACTCCGTAGGGTCAAGCCAGGACGCCACAGATTTCAGAGGAACAAACTGTGATTCTGTGGCAACTGACAGAGAGATTATTGATTAGCTGCGTTTCCATGACAATTGCATTAAGAGAAATGAAAAGCCTATTTTTGAGATTTATTTTGCTGCCTTAAATTCTGACAGCTACTTCTGTAGATGTGTGCGTGTGTGTGCAGACCGATAGAATGTTCCAGAAAGAATCACTAGCAGGGGGTGTAACGGAGATGTGTATGTGTGTGTGATTGGTTTGGGGGAGGGGGGGGGGGGCAGAAAGCAGCACCTTCATTTGGTCTGGCAAGGCAGAGAGACCTGCAGGGAGGTGTTACACACACACGCACACGTATTCCCACTGCGGTGTCTGGGAGGCGTTAATGGCTGCCACCAGGCCTTGTGTCACACAGCATCTGCTGCGCGTGACAGCCTGCCTCCGCTGCCCCTTTCCGGAAGCCTTTCATCGTCAAGCTCCAAACAGCACCCCCCGCATCGCCGCCCGGGTCCCATTTTCCCTTCTGTTTTTGCCCCCTCCTGGCTGCCAGGCTGAAGTGCACGGCTAATGAGGCGGCGGCAACCATAAGAAGTCCACTCAGAGCGACTAAATAAGGCACGAAGCCAAGGCGTCCATGCAGAGACGCTGGAGCTTAATGAACGGCCTTTTCCGTACCGCTGGCATATCCGCATCCAAAGGCAGTTTAATAAAGAGAAAATCTCACAAGAACAATAGAGCCGAACAGTTTCTACCTTTTTCCCCTCAATTGTTTTGTGTTAAAAAGGTCTTTATCAAAGGGTCTATGAAAATTGCTTCTTGTGACCGCATCGTTTAGAAGGAAAGAGAAAAGCAAGAGACAGAGGACTGATCATACGAAGCGAAGTCATGTGACACGAGAATTGACAAAACTTGGTCATGGGGGGGCATCCTCCGAGAAATGTTTTGGATCTTACTGCCACCCTGAGATTTGTTGGAGGTGTTAATAAAGCAACATTGACCCCAAAGTGGTCCTGCTGTTTTTCCCCTGAGCAAAATTGTTTCAATAAAACGAAACTAAAAAACAAAAACAAAACACATATGAGATATATGTATATAGCTCAAAAACATACAGAAACATGCTGGGAATAATCTTATATTTTAAACTTTGTGACATGTCTTTCTGGCTGCTAACCACTGAAGACACAACCAGTCCATAAATGATGGCCTAAAAAAACCCAAATGAGACGATCGCAGAGTCGTTTGATGGAAACCAAACAAAAATGTTGAAAAAAGGAGGAAACAGAAAGGCAGGCAGTGCAGGTGGGATGATGTGGGCAGCTACCTGGCCGAAGGAGCACTCACCTGCGATGGGAGTTCCTGTTGCTATTGACATGACCGCGTCCCGTGCAGCCGGGTGTGGGACACTTAAGAACATTCTCATACATTGCAAGAACTTGACGGACAGAGATTGAGAGATAGGGAAGGGTTAGGAGGCCCAAGAACCAGTCATTATGCTTAGATTAGTCATTGCAGGCATGGCATTCAGGCTAAGAAACAAGCAAGACATGGGGGGATGACTATGGGAGGATGGGTGGGGGGAGGGGATCACAGCATGCGAACGAGGGAACAGCAAGCCACATCACCCATTCCACAGACGCACCAGAAACTGGACAGAGAAGAAGGGTCAGGTCATATCTAACCACGGTCACACCATGTCTACTTTTATTGAATAAAAACTTAAGTCTGAGGGAAGGATGTCATATGCAGATATGCATACACATAAATTTTGTCAGAGATAAAATGAGAAAAAGAGTAGAAAGTGGTGGTGGCTGAAGGTGGTTCAGAGATCCTATATCAGCACACACTCAGCTTCAGCTCCATCAACAGTGCCTCTATAATTGCACAAACAGCCCTCACTGTCTGACAAATGTGCCTGAGCAACATGTTCTTAATCAAACATATTTATGTTCATCTACTCCATAGGACACTACGCGCTGAAGGCGCTCCACACTGGAGGAGATGCTCAGTCTACCCTTTACTGTTGTTTAGAAGATCCATGAAAACAAAAACATGGCCACCGACTTGAGTGATGTAAAAATGACAGGGCACACAACACTAAGTCTGACAAACGAAATCCTTAGGTCAGTGGTCATCAAAGCATTAAATTAATGGTTTAAGACGATTTGGAATCTCTTTCACGCACAAAATAATCTTTTCTTGAAAACAAAAGCTTACGTCTACTATTTAAATTGAAAAGGATTCACCAAGCATGTAAAAATTAGGATGAATTGAGATGAAATTTAGCCGTCCTTTTCAGCATTTTTGAAAGCTGCAGGTTCTGAATGAAACAAAGCGTCGCATTAATAATATATCGTCCACTCAGCAAGACAAATCTTTTAAATCAAGAATGGTTTAGCAATTTTAGGAAAGCAATTTCCCCAAAGAAACGTGCGACTATTAAGGTTTGCCGTAATAGTCCTTTCCATAGAGGTTATTGACCACAAAAAGGGGTTTTGCCGGGGTTGGGGGGAAATGTATTCGGAGGCTCCTCGGTCCCAGATAATGCATTTTCAAGCAGAAATCTGTCAGTATTTCTGGAAAGCCATCACAGGTCACCTTTAAATGCCATTGAAACAGGGATTCAAGGAATTAGACTGCATGTCTGGGTGCGTATACGTGTGTGTGGCTATGTGACACAGGCATACTCGTGATGTCGAGAAGTCCCAACCTACGGCAGTAATCATCATCCTGGTCTTAGACAGTGCCTGTTCAGGGAGTTTCACAAGCAACCCTAAATTAAGCCACTAACAGGCCAATCACTGTGACCATTGCATGGATACAACCACAGAGATGCAAAGAGGCAGATTTGATTGAATCGCTCCCTTAACCTTCTCAAATGACACCATAATGCCAGCTTTGGTATATCAAACAAGTAACTAAGGGCCAATTCTTTGGAAGGAAACATCATCTGAGAAACTAGCCTTTGATATGCACTGTGAATGCAAGAAGAAGGTGGTTGCCATGGAGAATTGAGGGGGTTACCGACTGGCATAACCGGCTTTCCATTGGCTACTTTATTGGTCCCCACTGAGTAAAACCAGATGGTGATTGACAGCACATAATGATCTCATCCACAGTGATTGTCAAAGCGTAATATCCCCCATCATTAATATTAGGTAAAGTCAGCTGAGTGCTCTTGAGGGACTCGAGGTTGGTGGCTGCTGAACTACAGCATGATTATAACTACAAAGGAAACATCACAGGTCACAAGGGACCTAACATGTCCACCTTGACAGGTGGCCTGGCAGGAGCTTCTCCTGCATCCTGACAGACAGTTCTCAGCCTCAACCAGAACTCCACGTCAAGAAAATAATGGATGTAATCCCCAAAGTCAATAGCCTGACCAGGTGGAGACGCAAACTCTTCGTAATCTATGGCAGATGGATTGGACACCCAACATTTTGAAGGTTTCCTTGAGTAAAAATGCCAGCATTACCTTTGGAAAAGGAAGTAGTGGTCGCCATAGACTCCATATCTGGGCCTACTGCATCAAGCAGATTAGAATGTGACTGAAACATTCACAGAACTGAGATAAGTAGCACCATGCTAACAAGTAGCTGAAATCTATTCAAACCTATCTGGAATTTTTGAAATATATTTTGCAGCGAGACCAGTTGGGTGACTTAAAATGAAAAGTCCCAGCCTGACAAAAGTCTGTTCAGTATGCAGCCTGGTAATCAATCGTAATCCTTCAGCCCGACTCAACGACTTAAATTCAGATCATAAAGATGTCGCCATGGTCACAAAAGCAGTGCTTATGCAAATCTCTTGCGTAAACAAGTCTTAGTTCTTATCAATTTTTATTTTTTTTTGTTTGACTGCCGTTGAGATTGAAATGATTTTGAACACTTTGATGCTGGGACAATAAGAGTTTGGTGCACGTGACAGATGACCAGAAAGCGTGTCCCTGGTAAACGCCACTATGCAATTAGAATAGAGGGGTATAATCCTCCTCTGGATGCTGAAAAATGTAGCAAAGAAGATTCACTTTCTGGCTGTTTGGGGCTAATGTTTACTGCCACTGCAGCCGATCGACAGCATGAAAGCCGGGTAATTAGTGTTTATTCGAGTGGATGTAATTGGACAAAGAGAAAGGAAGATCATCACATGATCTGGCAGTCAGTGGAAAGCACGGATCCACTAACGCACCCGAGTTTTGACGTGACAGCGAAATATAAAATTACGGCACTTTCAACACAACAATGATTGGGCGTGACCTCCCGGCCTGAAGGGGTGGTGGGGGGGTTGTGCCAGAATAATGCTGGAGTCACAGGCAGTGCAGCTCATGTGATGTGCCAAGCAACAAGCAAACATCACAGACATGGGGGCAGGCAGACAGTCCAGAAATCGTGGAGGTACGACGAAATAGAAAACCATGCAGAATAGAAATGGTGCTGAAGGGATGAGAGGAGGCATGCGTGGAAATGTGCAGAATACAACAATCAACGGTCTCTATGGTGATGGATGGCCGGCCAGTGCTCTTACTTTCTGGCGGTACCCTGTCTTTGTGGGGACACCCCGACAAGCTCCGGTGGTGGGGGTATAGCCCAGTCACATGACCCGTCCCGTCGCACCCGGGTGTGGGGCACCGGCTCTCCTTCTTTTCCGCCCGCAAAGAATCTGCCAGCAACACAAGCATACGCATCAAGGGGCTCCGCATAGTCGAGGATAGGCATGCTCTCCCCATCAGTCCCACATACACGTGTCACTGCTGATCACTTCGGAGATCTAACTGGCTGCCTTGGTAAAACCTGGATCGCAATGTCATCTGTCTCTAGAATCATGTCAGATGAGGGAATCCCAGGACATCCGATGAGGTTAACATGAAAAAACATAAGGGCAAAAGAACCCATTAGAAAACTTTACATGGCTGTAAAAAGATCACCTGAATACTTCCAGTACCTACACTTTTGGGGGAAAAAACACTTAAAATGTAACAAAAATCCATGAAGCTAAACACCCCCCATGGCTGATGTCTTTTTTTTTTCCCCTCCAAAAATGGTAAAAATTTTGATGCTTCAAATATGCAATTTCATATTGCCCTGTAAACGGGGCCCGGCTGTGAGATAACGAGGAAAAATGTGCGCCATGTGGAAGGCTTATCAGGCGGCGCGTTAATGTGTTTGAGGGTGACTATCGGCCCAAATCTCCTCCTGCACTGATTCCTGTTCTTTCTCCCCCCCAACAGACTGGGGCGTTTTCAGGCAGCAGCGAGCAGTGGTAGCGGATGGCTGCGGGGCTTAGAGGCGACAGTCCAGGCCTCGGTGCCCCCTGGCGAGCCAAGACGATATGAAGGGAACCAGCCGGCACCTCAAGGCTGGCATTAAGTGACGGGCAATGCTCCCCACACCCTCCATCTAGCCTTTTGCTCCGATATGAGCAGTGGCCTGGGAACACTTTACCTGGCAAACATTAATCATTAACAGAGAAGGGGGGGTAGCTTTAGCTCAGGTCTCTCTGTTTGCTAATCATGCCTCCATTTGAGGCAGCGTCGACGTTTCAGGATGACTCCCATAATAAAAACAATAAGCTCCCCAAACAAAGAGTGCTCACTCTCCGTACTGTCAATTAAAGGCACAGCTAAAGCACATATTGACCGGCGCTATGAGAACCCAGGGGTCGTCTATTCATTTATCTCCGTCCTGATATTACAGGGATTCCCTGCGGCGCCTCTGACATTGAGGCCATGTCTCGGGGCTGAACGATAATGGCTGCCCTTTCTGGATTCACCTGTGTTCTCTTCCTTATCGATCGGGCTGAAAGCGAGACCAGACAAAAGGAAGAATGGGAATTTCAGACCCCCGGCTCTATGGAAGCAAAAGGCATTGAGCGACCTCTAATGAAAATTTAAAGGTGGTGTAACCTGGTACACCCTGGCGTTTAGCTGGGATTCAAAATGCTCCTGGAGACTTTTTTTTTGAAAGGGGGGGGGGGGATATTAGCTAGACTGTTGAGCAAATAGATATTTCTTGAATGTCACATCTCCACACCAGGGTTTGTGGGGGCGGGGTTAGCGCAGGACCACAACACTGCACATGGGGGGAGGGGGCATCTGGGTGAAGGGTTAGGAAACATGGAGGTCACAGTTCAGCTGGAGAGACCCACAGTGGGGTCAAAGTCGGGTCTTTTTTTTTTATCAACTTTTCCAACCATCTTGCTATCAAAGGAGTATGGAACCTGTTCCACAATGGCCCATCCTATTCTGCGATCGAGCCGGACAAGAACTGTGGTCCGATAAGTCTGAAAGGATTCATTTTCCTGGGAAGGACAGCGACGTTCACGAAACCTGACCTTACCTAGGGTGTTCGCCTGTGAAACCCTGGGGAGAGAGTGGAGCTGGGGGTGAGTTTGGGGGGAAGGGGGTAGAGGAAATGAGCACATTAGCCCAGCCCTTCCTGGTTTAGGGGAACGCTTCATTTAACAATCTGAATTTTAGCCCTGTCTGCCGCTTTGCAAGGCGAAGGGGGAACCCAGCCGAGTGGAATGCATATTAGGAGGCAATAGATATTGATTGTGGCTGGGGACGGGCCTTGCTTTGCATAGCAAGCGTCTTCCGCTGCCTCGCCGTCGCCGGGATAATTAATGTGCAGTCACGGGCCCTGCCGTTTGTTATCGGTCATTCGGATGCCGTTCAATTCCCATCCCGGTGTCTCTGGGGGGTGGGGGTGCTCTTCAATAACTGTCATGGCGTTATTGTTTTATAAATCACAAGGCTCTCTAACCGGGAGCTGGTGGGCTCTGTGTGCGTAGGCCATACACTGCCGATGAATCGGTACCGGCGGCTCGCAGTTGGGAGAGGAGGCGGTCGTCATGCTAACGCCCACGCTCCTCTCGCTCGTCTAGGATCGTCACTGCTGGCGAGGGGACGCCCGCCACCACACTCGCCGCGTCTGTGAAATTCGCATCCGTGCTGCTATTTTTGCTTTTATTTGGTTGGCGCTTTTTTTTTTTAGGCGAGATTGTAGCAAGGTGTGTTTAAAAGGCGCGATTTTGACCCAGTGGATCCCTCGCTTTCTGGGAATGTTCCAAGCTCCTCGCATTCACTCAGCCTTCTGTTTTTTTTCTTTTTCTTGTTCCCCTCCTTTCCTCCGCTTGTCGCATCTCCTGCTGCATGCAGGTGCTAAGCGCTTGGATGAGGAGGAAAAAAAAAAAGATGCGGCTGACAGAGATTTCGCCTGAGGACCTGTCACGGAGTTCCCTCCTAATTTAAATTATGGCCACACTGCTGAAGCTCACATCCCCCATCCCCCCCCCCAACGCTACTCCAACTGTCTCGTAGGTAAGTGGTAAGCAACACCTGAACGTGGGACTAACACCGCAGTCACCAATCACCGCAGGCCTGAGATGAGTCTACCTGCAAGTCTGGCTAAGTGCCCTTTTTCACCGATGTGGGGGCTGATCAGATGATTTCTTTCTTTCAGGCTGCTGGTATGCACCACATCTATGGATCTTGTTTTCCTCATGACGCCCTGCAAAGCTGCTCATCACTGACCCCAGCTCCACCTCCCCACACCCCCCTTTCCGCCGCAATGTACCATCCCCTGCTTCCATCCATTGCGTCCACTCCCCCCCCCCCCCCCCATAAACGGTGCCCTAACATTTAGCCATGTTTTCGTCAGACTTCCAAGCAAGCTTTTAACACAGAGCTAACTGCCATCTGCCCTTGTTTCCTTGGCGGAGTTGACCCATTTTTCCATGATGGCCGGGGGAGGACCAGCGAAGGGAAAAAACAAATTAATAAAAATGACGCCGAATATTCCGAGCAATCGTGACGCAGGAACTCACGAGGAAAGCCTCGGCCCAGGAATCATCAGCGCTGAATTGAGTTATTTTTCCGAAAGTCACACGCCAATTTGCAGTGAGCGTGTTTTTTTCCTTCTTCCGCAAAGCCCTTCCTGGGTTTAAAAATAGGCCGCTGAGTGCAGGCGGCATCCCAGGGATGAGATTTGCCGTCCTAACAGGCCGTGCAGATTGCTATTACTTATGCCTGACAAGCCCAGCCTCTGATGTTGCCACGCCAGCCTATTTTAACAACATAAGCCGCCGCTGCCACGTGAATTTTCAGACTGACTGAGGAGGCTCTTCCTGGGTACATCGCCTTGCGAGGTTCCCGCCCGGCAAGCTGGGATCCGCTTCTGACGAGTGGGAGCAGAGTGACCCCACTGGCTCGATGTGAGTTCATTTAGGGCTGTCGATGCAAACTTCTGCCCTTTGCACATTCATGACAAGGTATTAATGAGGAATACTGCAGTGTGCTTGTGTAACATGGCCCAAATATTTGAAATATATTGGCCCATAGGGACCAATTAGTAAGAGATACCATGAATTTTACCATGACACCAGGAACCTTCTCTAAGGGCAGGATGGACATGCTCCATTGCCTGTTGGGTGTTATGGCAAACAGTCTTTACAGGGTCATTTTTTCCCAATTCAAGAACGCTCTTCTGGAAACGTGGTACAAACCCCAAACGCGCTGAGATAGCTCCCCATACCTTTAGGGTAGTACGGCTTCTTCATGCCATCGTGCAGCCGTGCCTTGCGCTCCTCGGCACAGCTGGGCCTGGAGCCGCTGTCCTCCTGCATCCTTAGAAGGTCCCGCTCGTGCCGGGACGCCTCTGTGGCCATCCGGTCCCGCATGGCCTTGGCCCGCTCTGACTCAAGGGCAATGGCCTTCTCCAGCAGGGACAGGTTGCCCTTAGTCATGTCGAAGACCTCCTCGGAGCGGTCCGAGGCCACTGAAGTGGCGTCCTCGTCATGGTAACCATCCTCCCGGGCGCAGCTGGAGAAAGCTTTGGACCCAGGGCTCAGCTGCTCTTCCAGCTTCATCAGGTTGACCATGTCCGAGTAGCTGCGCTCTGCAGCACGCCGGTCCTCTTGCCCCTGATGGCAGTCGACATAGCCAGACTGTTGATGTGGGGCTGGCTGCGGGTTCGAAGTGTGCCCGCAGTGCTCGGCAGGCTGTGTCTCGCTCAGTTTGCGCGCCAGGTCGAAGCACTGGTTCCGGAGGCACTCCAGACTGCTGAGACACACCTCCTCCTCGCTCTCCTCCGCCTGTCCATTGCAGGTAGGCTTGCCCTGTAAGGCCCCGCCCCCATCCACACCTTCCAGTGTGCCGTCTGCATAGCCCCTCCCATTGAGGTTCTCAGATAGCATGGCGCCATGCCCCTGTGCCAACAGCTTAAGGGAGTCTACCGTTTCCCGAACGACATCACTGTCCACGTCCAGGCTCAACTCGCCCTTTCTCGTGCCCTTCTCCACATCCTCATCGTCCTCCTCCTCAGCGCTATTGGAGGAGCTGCTGTTCATCTCCGACTCGGTCATGGCGCGGTAAGCTGCGTCCTCTGCAATCTTGCCCAGGTTCAGCAGGGACTTGGCCACCAGCTCATCATAGTTCTCATACTCTTCGTTGTTGTTGTCATCCTTCTCCATGGTATGGCCAGTCTTTGAGTAGATGCCACGTGCCAGGGCGTCCTCTGTCAGACAAGAAATGCCATTTAATGTCATTCTGAGGAACGTACTTAGGCGTCTGAAGGCATTCCTACCCATTGAGCCTGTTTTTTCATTAGGTGGATAAGCCACTTCTTGCTGTTAAGTGACGTTTATGTCGATGCCTTTAACTATAGCTGGCTGAATGCAAGGGCTTACTGACTTTGAGATTTTGTCTCTTAGCTACAGCTCCATGTATCACATTTAAATATTCACTCCGCTGCACCAGTGAAATATTTTTCCTCAAAGCTCATGGGCTCCTAGGTGGCATGGTATTACCATTCAGAATGTGGGGGCAATTTCATTGCAAACAAAGGACAGAGGATGTGAACATTAATGGCTGAGGAATCCTTACTATTTAACCAATCAGCCAAACAATCAGTAAACCAACTATTAAGTAATCAGTTACTTGACTCCCTTTGTATACCAGTGCAATACAATGAAGTCATTACCAGAAACTACATTTTAAAAATGAATAACCCCATAAACAAACATTCAGGATTTATCATGAATCAGTTTCTACTACGGACCTCAACGTGAACAGTCATAACCGACCGGACACACATTTCGATGGAGCCCCAGCACACTGGTCACCCTGGGGGTTGATTCCAGCATCCCGAAACATTTCTCTGAAAAGCCATTTGAAGTGCAATCAAGGGACACAAAAGGAACAGGGAGGCGAAACAGATTGGAGGCGCATCGGAGAGATTACAGCACCACCATGAGTGGATTAGCGCAGCTGTAATGCCGGGCGCTGTTTAAGAAATGCAGAAAATGAAAACATGCCCAGCATCTGTTGTGCTGGTGAAGATCAGTATCTAAGAGGCGCCCAATCTGGCAAGAGGGCAGCGCAGATCAGGTTGCAGGTTAGAAAATACGCTGATTGTTTCTCCTGCTAACTCCACCGAGGAATATTACAAAAAATGTTGATTTTCAAACTCAAGACTTCAAAACTCAACAAGCTCAACCAGAGATGATAGGAGTTTAACTGGGAGGTGAAGTTTTTGTTGTCGTGCATTGGTTGCACAGAGTAAATTCATAATACAGAGGTAAGTCATAAGGTAAAGGAGTGCATCTCGTATCTAAGAAACCAAGGCTAGGGGGGTGGATGTGATACTTAAATAAAGGTGAAGAGGTCATTCCACAGGGCCCCCAAAATCCAGCACGAATGTCATAGAGACTACATGTGACATAGCGATTAGGAGGGACATTGAAACATACCAATCCAGAGAGAAAAAGAAAAACAGAGACCACAAGACAAATAGAAACATCCTGATCACGAGACTGAGAGACACAGAGGTTTTGAGATTATCTTCACAGTCTTTTTTTATAGGCCATTCAGTCACACTGAACAAAGACATCCCTTTCAGGACACCCACACACTTCGTAGTCACTGCATGCCACCACTCAGTAACCTATGAGTCAAATGAAGTTGCAGTTTATGTGCAGTTTGCCAGATATAATGTGAGGTGATATATAACCTTCATTTGTATCTAACTGCCTTCACCTGCAAGCGCTCACAGCATACCTGACCTCAATGTCCAAACTACAAGACTTCTGACTCACTGATCCGGGCTTAAATAAATTCATCTTTCTGTTCTGGCTCAAGCTAGCTATCCTCAAGAGGTTTTCTTTTCATGTTTGGGTTGAAACACTCTGAGTGTCAGAAAAATCTGAAGTCCTCAGATAAATCTGTTTCTGTTTCAAAACGCTGGAATGGACATGCTAAAATATGAAAACATGCCTAAATAAACAGACACCTAAATAAAACTGCTCGGTGCTGGCATAATGGCACCTGCCCTTACCTTGATACTGACTCTGTTCTTCATAGTCTTCCTCTTCCTCATCCTCCTCTTCTTCATCTCCTTCCTCTTCCTCATCCCCTTCCTCTGCTTCCTCTTCTTCTTCCTCCACCCCCTCCTCCTGTTCTACCTCATCCCCTTCCCCCCTCTCCTCCTCACCCTCCTCTGGCTCGCCGTGCTCCTCATTGTCCTCTGAGTACTCCTCCTCCTCCTCTTCTTCGTCATCCTCATCCTCCTCCTCTTCCTCCTTTTCGTCCATCTCCTCTGTACCATCACTCTCGTAGCACTCGTCCATCGAGGAGTTGTCCATGCGAGCCAGGAAGGGCTTCTTCTTGGTCGGCGGAC